TCTTGCCGTGCCAGTCTCGTCGCTGCTAATGTTGAAGTGGGTCTCGTGGGCGGGTGGGGGCTCATGTGGTCGGCGGCCTGGGACTACATGAAGAACTACGCATGGAGGGAGTTGCCCTATTCGGAGGTATACGGCGCCGTTTCGGACGCGAACGAATTGCTCAGGTGGCTGGGTGAGTTGGGTCGAAAGGAATCGGACTCGGAACGAGCCGCTTGGGTGGGACAGAATTACCAAAGTGTCCTCAGAGTCTCAAATTCGCTGCTCCGTAGGCTCCTCACGGTGTTCTATCACTCGGTACGCACCGTTTCACTTATTACCAAATACTTTTTCCTCTTCTTTTTTTCATAATGAATTATTTTTGGGTTTGGGGATTGTGGTGGCAGGGAACGCTGAGAGAATTGGTCAAGGCAGTGCAAAGCGAGGTGAAGGAGGGGGAGCTGTTGAAGGATTTTCTTGAATTGGGCACCAATGATTTCAAAGGTTTGATCCAAATTCTCAAGGATTTGGGATTACAATACGGTTCCTCTACCATGCACCAAGATTTATGACATATGTGTAGTTAATTTGTAATCCTTTTACTACACACAAAAGAAAACGACCATTAAATTTTTTGTCTGTTGGGTTATTTGTATTTTCTTCTTGTATGTTTGATGAACTTGAAATGAAAAGCTCCTTTATTTTAGAAATAATGAATAATTATAGTGTTATCTTCATATGGAAAATTCACCATTTTTTTTTTACCACATCACTAGCACATTTTTTAGGGAGGATAATTTCGCTGCAGATGTTGTAGCTAATGGCTCTCGACTTCTGTTGTTTGGGAACATAGTTTTGCTTTGTGACTTTCGTTTCCGTATTAAAAAAGGAACGCATTTTTTGAACGTTGTACTTGCTCACCCCACTTAATCTTAGGTTACATTTGGATGGATGAATTTGACAAAAATGGTAAATTTGCTATTAAAAAAACAAGAACGAAATAAGATTGAATGTGCTTGAAATAACTAGATGTAGTACATTTGTTTTCTTTCTTCCTTTCTTTCTTGTTCAAATCTTGGCATAAATGAAAATTTTGTGGGTAGTTTGGGAGTGTTAAACATTTTGCTCCAGCCCCAACTTCATTATCATCAGACAAGCTTACTCTGCAGACTACTGGAAAAGGCCAATAAAGAATTGATTCATGAGATCCAGCAGCTCGGGCACAGCATCAGCTGCAATTTTTGCCAGCTTATAACTTATCTGTGAAAAGTGAAGGCCAGAATCAAACTAAGGCCGTAAATACAGTAACATAACACACAAAGCAGAGGTGATCATTACGGTAATCAAATTTGGCAGCACTGTACGGTCAAGTTCCTCTCTGTAAGCACCCAACAAGGTAACCAATGAAGCAAAAGACTGCTAGCAAGCCATAAAAAGGAAAAATGAATCATCCAAAATTCCTGTCAAAGGAAATTTTTTTTGATGAAAACTAATGTTTAGTTTGAGCACCATTGTGGTGTTAGTTGGATTGGCTCATGTCTTTAGTGTGCTTCTAAGTGGTCATAAGTTCAAGCCTCAATAATACCCGTGTGTGTGAGTTTCCTTTTCCCCTTCCTAACTTAGGCCAAATTATTTTTTTCAGTCTGAGCCATATATCCAAAATCCCACTCGAGTAGAATTGTGCCTGCCATTTATTAATGTTCAGTCTGAGCCATACTAACGGTTGCTGTGAGGCTAAAGTTCATGCTAAAATACTATGATTAAGGTCCGCATAATTGGGCCAATAACCAACAACGCAAACGAATGTTAACTTGCGTACCAAGAAGACCCGGCCGGCTCTTGTCCGCTTAAAACCCTGAAGACCCGACCCGGCCCGCTCCCCTCCGCTTAAAACCCTAACTCTCTCTCTCTCTCTCTCTCTCTCTCTCTCTCTCTGAGTTTCCTTCCACAGCCAGCCATGGTGAAGCACTACAGGCCTCCCGTAAGTTCTAAAATCTCTTCGATAAGTTGTTCGGCAATATCATCAATCACTATTCACTAACGCTTAGACGCACGCATGCAGCTGCTTAATTTTCTTTTCGTATCTTCTTTCAGGGCAAGAAAAACCAAGGTAATGCTGCAAGGTTCATCACCAGGTCAAAAGCCATCAAGCAACTTCAAGTCAGTCTACCCCTCTTCAGGTCTGTCTCTCTTTCTCTCCATCTTCCCTTCCCCATATATACCTACCTTCAGATCAAGGACAGATTAAACTTGTAATTCGTATATTCGTTCATTCTCATATTAGTTTATATGTAACTTCCGCATATATTTGTTGGAAATCAATAAGAAAATAATTTTCCGGTCTTGTACATATTACGCAATAGTATTTCATGATGATTTTTATGGCTATGCATGCAAATTTTAGGAAAGTATGTATTCTGAAGGGGATATTCCCTCGGGAGCCAAAGAAGAAGGTGAAAGGAAATCACCATACTTATTATCACTTAAAGGATGTTTCATACATCCAACATGAACCATTACTCGAGCGCTTGAGAGAGATCAGGGCTTATCAACACAAAGTAAAGAAAGCCGAGGCCAAGAAGAACCCGGATCGTGCTACTCTTCTCAGACAAAGAAGTCCTGCTTACAAATTAGACAAAATTGTTTTGCAGAGGTTAACTTTTAATTATTCTTATTCAAAATAAATAAAAAGTATGCTCATTTTGCTTCTTTCTCTCTCATTGTATGTAATTGTTATGTTCCATGAATTGCAGGTATCCGAAATTCCTTGATGCTCTTAGAGATTTGGATGACTGTCTCACAATGGTTCACCTCTTTGCCGCCTTACCTGCTATTGAGGGCTGTATTGAAGTGAAACGCATCCATAACTGTCGGAGGTGAGGCTGGATTTGGAGCATATGAAATAACAATTATGTTGAACAGCATCATTCCATGCACCAGTTCATGTTTCCGAGTCTGATTATCTTAGGCCTTTTGTTGTTTTCATTTTTTTCTCCAGGTTGGCTCATGAATGGCAAGCTTACATATCCCGTACTCATAGATTGCGTAAAGTCTTTGTGTCTGTTAAAGGCATATATTATCAGGTGCAGCAGCATACTGTATATATATCACTGCTTCTTTAAATGTTTAACTGTGGCATCTTTCGGGTAGGGAGGATTTATACGGTAGCGTTGTGTTGTTTGTCGATGCAGGCCGAGGTCAAAGGGCAAAAGGTCACATGGTTGGCTCCTCACCCTTTGCAGCAAGTTGTGACGGATGATGATGACTTCAATATCATGCTAAACTTTTTGGAGTTTTACGAGGTTTCATTCTTTTATTCTTCTATTTTAATTTTTTCTTCAATCAGTATATGTGCTAGCCGTAAATGTTATTTGGTATCCATTAAGCAGCTTCTTTTGCTTTCCTTCCAATGAACCGATTACTTGATCATCTTGATCATACACGAGTTGTAATATTCATCAAGCTTATTCTTTCCTTTTCTTATAAGAAGTTTTTGCTCACTCGGTGCAGGCTCTTCTTGCCTTTGCGAATTGTCATTTATATCATTCAATAAATGTGAAGTATCCACCCATTCTTGATCCTAGATTGGAAGCTTTAGCAGCAGGTATGCAATGCATTTTTACTAGTTGCTTAAGAGAAGCTACGAGGTCCTTATCTTCTCTCTTGGCAATGTTGAGTTGTGGATCTTTTGTGTGTTAATGGAGCATGAGTATGATTTAGTTTGATTGTAGATCATTATGCTCTATCAAGGTATTTCGATGCAAACTCTCGATCCTCTGCGTGGGATAGCCAATATTCAAGTTTGTCTGGATCTGGGAAAGTTGAGAGCCAGCAGATTGGGCCTTTGGTGGATGAGTCTGAACTAAGACTTGCCCAACTTCAGAATCAACTCTCCTCAAGTGAACCTGGTGCATTGATGCACCTTGTGGAGGATGTTCCAGGTGAGGATGAAGAGGATAATGATACGAGGGAGTGCAAGAAACTCTTCAAAGATATGAAATTTTTCTTGAACCGTGAGGTAAGTCCTAAAGTCTTACATCAGAGATTTCAGAATCATAATTTTTTTTTTCTTTTTTGAAACTTATTTTCTTACCTTTAATATGTGTCACTCAATTTTCTCATGCTATTTCTTTCTTTTAGTTGATCAGCAGTAGAATAACTTGTGCGTGTAATTTATCTATGTTCAGGTTTACAGAGATTCTCTGCTTTTTGTCATACCTGCTTTCGGTGGAATTGTTTCCTGGCAAGGAGATGGGGCTCCCTTTGAGGAAGATGATGACAGCATCACCCATCAGGTATTCTGCTACAATATCTTTATGCCGAGTCATTGATTTGTTAAGACATCACACTCGGAAAACATGTATGTACTGTCTCTTGCCAAAAAAGAAAAAAGAAAAAACCAAAATCGGTCTTTAGTATGACAATTCTGACAGCTAGACTGCTTGTGTGTTCTGCAGATTATTGACAGGCCAAGGCAGGATGGGAAGATCTGTGGTAGAGAATATGTTCACCCACAGTGGGTTTATGATTGTGTAAATGCTCGGATCATTTTACCAACTGGGGATTATTTGGTGGGAAGGTAATCATGAAGGACAATTTTTCTTATTTGCATGTGTTGTTAATCTCTCTGCCTTGCACCATGATGAAATGACTGGTTATAAGACTCATTTTCTATGGTCTGCTTCCTTTCCTAGCTGTGTTTTTCATTTCTCTATTGGCTAATAAAAGTTCATGACTTGTAAGATGATTGATTTAGTGCTCTTTTTAACAGGGATCCTCCTCCACACTTGTCACCTTTTGTTGACAATGACTCTTTCGAGACCGAAGGTGTTATTAACCCAGCAGAAGCAGAAGCAAAAGCTGCAAAGGAAAAGTGGAAGAAGGTAGGCAGGTTTTAAATTTCTGCTATTTTATGTTATGATGTGATCATATGACAGCATTATTTGTCCCTGATTGATGTTAACTAGATTCTGGCGTGATGCATGCAGATGAAGGCTCATGAGAAGCAGCATCATCATGAATTAATTATGGAACTTGAGGGTATCACAGACTCATCATCTATCTCGAATATAGATAATCTGAGCGCTGATAGGGAAGAACCTGATCATGATTATGAGCAAGTTGAGGAGGATAACAGAATTATGTCTCTATTTCAATTGTCACGTCAGATCAGGGGGAGTATTGAAAGCATGAGGGTAAGTTTGTTAATGCTATCATGCAACTTTTATTGGTCTCTCAAGTGTGACATTAATAATTAAACAGGTCAAAAAAGCCGTTCGAAAACAGATCAGAAAACTTATGTTTGGTTTGATTCCATTATGAACCTGTTTTGAGATTTGAATTCCCGGCTTGAACAAGAGTTATGTGTGAATTCAAATGCTGTGTTTTCTTTAATAGAAAATTGTGTCTCACTTGCCTCACTTGCCATTAATTTTTAGAAGTTTTATGTTTCTTTAGAACTCCAGAAGCTACCTCTTTGTTTGATCTTGTAAATGTAATAGATAATATTTTGTCCTGGATAACTGATTTTTGGATGTTTCTTCATTCAGATAAGCAGGCAACGAAAGAAGCGCCTTGATGATGTTATTAGGCAACGGAGGAGAAACGTTAGAGGAACATGAAGTATCTGAACTTCTTTTGTCACGTCGGATCAGG